CAAGTGATTCGTTGAACACCCTACTAGTATACTTTTTCATGATATTCTAATATTTAGAGATAGGATATTTGAGTTTTCTTAAGCTGTATGCCATAATCAGCAATATTAAAATAATAAAAGGCTTGCAATATTTCAGTTGATTTGTAATGAATCCAGAATGTATGACATTTTTGTTTTTTTAATTGCATTACAGAAAATAAAGAACTTTATCACAATATTCTAATTTTCTGAGACAGTCCTGTATATTGATGTTACCAACATATTTGTTGTGATGTAAATCAGAATTAAATCCCAAATGATCACATTCGGGATGTAAGAAACAACACTGTGAGAAAACACACTATCTGCTTGATAGAGATTTTAAACAATTATCAAGATTATTGTTGAATCATTTAGATTTGAATTGATTGAATCATTTGATCACGTATGCAGTTTAATGTTTTCAACAGGTTATGGAAGCTGTGAGAAAACATGGTGTAAAACTCACAACTATTCTGACCACTCATCACCACTGGTGAGATGCAATTTATCGTTTTTTTTTTAAACATAGTCTTAGACAGGCTACCATTACACATGCATAAAACGACCCTTCTGCTGAATCAAAGAGTGGTAAACAATACACTGATTATTTTCTCTCCTCAGGGATCATGCTAGTGGAAATGAAAAGATGGTTAGGTTAATGCCAGGGCTGAGGGTCTACGGAGGAGATAACCGAGTGGATGCAATTACAAAGAAAGTCTCTCATTCTAAAAATTTGAAAGTAAGACAATCAAACTGTCTATTCTACACTCTATAAATTATCACTTGCCTGATGTTTGCTCACTGGTGTCATTCTTTCCCAGGTCGGATCACTCAATATCAAATGCCTGTTCACACCATGTCACACAACTGGTCACATCTGCTACTATGTTACGAAAGAAGACAGCACAGAGCCCCCAGCTGTTTTCACGGGTATGTCAAATCCAGGAGATCAGATAAAAGGCACAAATAAATACCAGGTGATACTGGAGACAATGAAGTCTCTGAGAAAGCTTTTAAATCTGTAAAGTTGACCAATAAGTATTGATACAACAGCTTTAACAGGACAGCACTGCATCACGTGACCTTTTTAATGTCCCTTTTTTCCCATGCAGGAGACACGCTGTTTATGGCCGGTTGTGGTAAATTCTTTGAGGGTACAGCAGAGCAGATGTACAAAGCCTTGATAGACATTCTGGGACAACTGCCTCCAGAAACTGTAAATATCTCCACTAATATCAGTATAAAGGGTACTTTGAAAGTCTAAACTTCATATAAAATAATGTATACTCAAACTGTATGACTAACCTCGATGTGTTTGTGTTTTAAGCGTGTTTATTGCGGTCACGAGTACACCGTCAGCAATCTGAAGTTTGCGCGTCATGTTGAGCCAGACAATGAAGTAATTCAGGAGAAGCTAGCATGGGCAAAGGTATTTAACTGATGTGTCACATCATGGCAATTATTGCCTCAATCAAATGATCAGCCTATGAAAAAAGTGATAATTAAAAGAACTTTTGCATCTGTGTTTTGTAGGAGAAATGCAGCAACGGGGAACCTACCGTCCCTTCTACTTTGGCGGAAGAATTCACATTTAACCCCTTTATGAGAGTCAAGTATGTGCAACTTGATTAAATACTAGTTATTAGTGATTTACTGACAACACATGTCTGTATAGTTTGTTTTGAGCTAATTACAGTTATTTGTTTAATTCAGAGAGAAGTCCGTGCAAGACCATGTCAAGGAGACGAGCCCGATTGAAACCATGAGAAGTCTCCGGAAAGAAAAAGATGGCTTCCGGGTGCCCAAGGAGTGATTTCCAGTGTACTCATGCTGAATGGTTCTTTACTGCTTAAAACACTGCAAGCTGTCAATAGTGAAGTACAGAATAAATATCTACAATTCATCTTCAAACACTATAATCATATCTAGGACATTCTCTCTTAGGCAATGCACACATATTTTTTCATCATTAAATTCAGCCCTCATGATATGGCTAGGAACTTGTTTTAATTATATTTGGTTTGTACAGATGAAATTGGTGCGGTAGTTTTAAGGAACATTTAGCTTTTAATTGAGTGCTTGAAATGAGAAAGTTTGATCATGTGTAAATCTGAGTATAAGGGTCTATTTTAATGTTATTTAAAATATTAAATCAATGTTAAAACTACAATTGTAGTTTGTTTGTACAAAAGTGTTTCAAATTAAATGATAATAATTAATTTAAACTTAAATAAGACCGGGAGATGCTTGAGGAACAAATGTTGGAATGTGTAAAGTTTCTGTAAATTCATAAAAAAATGACTTGATTGGTATTAATTCTTTATTAAGGAAGATTTACTTTGGACTTTTCTTTCCATTTTGGCTTGAAAGCTATTCTGATTGTTCACTATGTAATTTTGGCAGAATTTAATTTAAAGCATTGTGAGCAAAGCATTGTCTACGTGGTATCACTACTGTTGCTTTCACATGAAGTGTTCAGTAAAGTACAATCTTACAACGAATATTGAATGAAAATAGCAACAACACATGTTTATTTGAAGTTAGTAGAAATAAAAGTCCTGCTTTCAAAAAGTACTCAATTGAAAATATTGTATTTTCATAAATATAATTTTTTGGAGTATTGCAAGAACATTTACATGTAGTTGTAATTTACAACCAAACATGGGTATTTTAGGCCTTGAATTACTAAATTAATTTGTGTATAATTAAGACTGCATGTCACCATTTTTTTTTAGAACAGGAGTCTATAATGTTGCACCCATACATTCTACTAGAGTAAAAATATCATACAGTGTATTTTACTAATGCAAATCTTTAATTTCTTCGCAATGTGATCAAATCTTCACTTTGTGCTTAAAGTTGCACTAATCAAGATTATTCAATAATGTCTTTATCTAAATTCTGTTGGATATATTCCATTAAAATATATAAAACAAGCCTACAATTAAATAAAGTCTTTATTTCTCATTACACATAATCATAAGGTTAAATAAGCAAGGAATGATTATATTTAGCTCTGTCATTTCACCTGCCACAAACATTTATTATTTACTTTTTATACATTTGAAAGGACAAAAGACAATCGGTCACACGATGTGAACTTAATTTGGCTCCGGCATCGTGTGTATTATTTATACCCCCTGTCTTTCGATTTGCAAAACAAACAACTTTTAGAGGAGCGGAACAGCGAAAGGTTATTTGCATACATTAATGCAGCTTGTATTCAACATTGCCCATAACCCTTCTGTTCTCTCTAAAGAATTACAAAAATAGTCACACATGGGGACGGTGCTGTGGTGTTTGATGAAAAACTCTGCTTATCATGGATTACACCAAAGCTTTCTTCACCACTTCATAGTAAGTCCATTAATCATCTTCTCCACCGCGTGGTAGTGTGTGTGCAGCAGCTCTTTGGCTCTCTCCTCCCCCACACTGTGCAGCCAGGACTGGTACAGCTCGGCCACACGGGTGTCCTCTTCTGGCGATAGCGTGCGCTCTTCCTTGTAGAGATCCTCAACCTTCTGGAGGAGCTCCTTTGGGTTCTGACCAGGTAAGGGCTTCACCTGTCCTCCGCCATTTATACAGCCTGAATAATAACAAGAGGTAATGGGAAGCATGCTGAGTTTATCACTGAAATGTTCTTGCAGACATCATACATCTACAAGAATGAAGTTTGTAAATCAGTGCTTATTATTTTCTTGTTTTGGGCAATTGAATGGAGCAAAGGTGCATAAGCACACATCAAGGAAAAGTTTTCATCCTCAAAGTCGACTTTACCTGACGGACATGCCATTACTTCCACAAAGTGGTAAGGCGACTTCCCCCTCTTTAGCTTCTGCACCAGGTTCTGGATGTTGCGGAAGCCGTATGTGAAAGCAAAGCTCAACTGGACAACTCCATCTTTCTCTAAAGTCACTTCCTGGAAGTCTTTATTCCTGTGGCAGAGGGGTTGAGGTGGAAGAACCAGATTAGACTGAACATTCTATAGACGAGGTGCAAGACAAGTAGGCCGATACAATTCATCTTCAAACAGATGATTTGCCCTTTTTTGCCTGTACATAAAAAGCATCTTAAACATGTATTTGTACTGGACCAAGGATTGACTGTTCCACAAAATGACCACAAGGCTGTTTCGGTTCTGATGGGACAGACTCACCTTAGGGTCTTGTAAGTGAGCTCCTTAACCTCCTCTCCAAACAGCTGCTTGGCAGCGTAGGTGAAGACATGATGGAGGTAACCCCCTGACCCACTCCCAGAATGGCTCAGGAACTCATCCTCACTCACACTGCTGAACCTGGGTCACAAATAATATGTAGTGTGAGTTAATGTATTCTTATGGAAATCTGCTATGGCTAATAGAAGAGAAACATCACAGAACTTACATTGTATCTAGAGGAGCAGGTTCCACATCTTTCAGAGACACATTTTTCTCCTCAAGCATTTTCTGAACCTCTCCTATAGGAAACATCAGAGAAGTATAATATGAGAAAATGCTCCACATTCAAAGAGGCAAACAGCATCATAAGAGTAATTACTGTACCAGATGTGATGACACAGTCCACTTCTCGAGTCTCAGCTTCATTTAGGTAGAAGTCTGACCTCGAGGCCTCTAGTTTCTTGTCAAAGCAGGGCATTACTGCCACATGGTAGATCTGCTGTGGACTCAGCCCCTAACAACACACAGATCAATGTCAACTAAACATTTTATAAATTATAATTATAATCCAAATTCAAGACGTGCAGTACCTGTTGTTCAGCAAAATGGCCTTTAACCAGAGAACCCATCATCTGCTGAGGGGAGCGAGTGGTACTAATGTAAGGAAGGATCATCTCCCCATGGGTCTTCTCTGCATAGCAAATCCAACCTGAGCAACACACACATACAGATATTCATACATGAGCAATGGGAGATGTCTCAAAGCGAACATTGAAATCATATCAATGAAAGTTGTATTATCTGACCAAAGTGAAATTGATCAAGCAGTAAACGTTGTTTGGTCCACAACGAATATAAAGACGAGTGAATTGTGTTTTATATACTTTCAGATTATATTAATCAATGGAATTTCACATTGTTAGAATAAAAATGGCTATACAGAAAGGGTACACAATCAGCACCATTTACCAGCCGCGTTGGTATAATATGAAAAAGAAAAGTCGATTTACTTCACCACCAGCCAAGAAAGAAAAACAAATGTTTGTACAATGCAGACAAATGAGGATGTCACGCTACAAAAGGTCTTAGAACGCCTCAGAACGCTCCAACATGATACATAGAGGGTTTGTTTTGGAATACCTGGACAGGCCGACGTCAGCATGGGCAGAGTCTTGCTGTCCTGCTCCTTCCTCTTGAAACGCTTCACAAACTCTCTCTGGCTCTCTAGCAGGCTGAAGGTCCGACTAAAGCTTGTGTCAAACACATGATGAACCCCTGCAATAATGATGACAATCTTTAGTGACTTTGTCTGCCTAAATCAGCCTTTCATTTACATTTCCAGTTTTTCTTTGAGTTGTGTAGGACTTGAGAAGAATATAATTGTATCCACTTTTTCACCAATGATTTTCAATGACTTTTCCATGACTTCTCCATGACCTTTACCTCATTTTCCATGACCAAAAAATTACTCTCTCAGCGGTACCACTGAAAATGGTTTATTTTAACATGGAAATAAACGACCACCTCTAAAATCAACGAAAATTCAGAACATCTTCGATCATTCGGATTAAACTAAACAAAATCTATGCCGTGTTGTACAAGTATACGTCTGGAATNTCAATATAATATAAGGCACGTACCTTTATTGGCTCCACAGGGTCAACCACGTGACAACTACATGTACCTCCTGATAGATGAGGAATCCAAAGAAGCTGCTGTGGTTGACCCTGTGGAGCCAATAAAGGTACGTGCCTTATATTATATTGATGTTACCAACATATTTGTTGTGATGTAAATCAGAATTAAATCCCAAATGATCACATTCGGGATNGCCAATAAAGGTACGTGCCTTATATTACAGGACTGTCTCAGAAAATTAGAATATTGTGATAAAGTTCTTTATTTTCTGTAATGCAATTAAAAAAACAAATTTTGTTTTTTTAATTGCATTACAGAAAATAAAGAACTTTATCACAATATTCTAATTTTCTGAGACAGTCCTGTAATATAAGGCACGTACCTTTATTGGCTCCACAGGGTCAACCACAGCAGCTTCTTTGGATTCCTCATCTATCAGGAGGTACATGTAGTTGTCACTGAGAGCTGGGAGAAGTTCAATCTTCATGCTTGCTTGTTCCACCAGAGAGGATTTCCTCACTGCGCTGTGAAGAAGGGCAGCTGCCTGGGCCTTTACTTCCAACGGTGCTTCATGAGAAGATATAAGTAAACATTAGACAGACTGACATGAGGATGCTCTCTCTCTCTTAGTGTTAAATAATCAATCTTATAGCCATACAATTCTATGATTTTATAACAGAGTCCCTTAAACTAAATTATGTTTATTTTATGCAGCCAGACGTACCGGAAACGAATGCTAATATAGCCAAGTATTCAATCTGTAAACTAACAAAACAACAAAACAAAGTTAACGACGTTAGCTTCAATGCATTACATGATTTCCACCTAGCTACAGCCTATCATGACTGTTAAGGATAATGTTATGTAATAAGGTGCAGATGTTTGCTCCGACAGGGTAACTCAGTTCAATTGACAGCTCTCTTGTTTCGACCATAACAAAAAACTACTTATCCATCCGTAACAAGTTAACATTCATATGAATACGCAAGCTAACGTGCGAAATTAGATGTTTACGGACTGTAAGGTAGTGGGGACTTACCTAATTTGAACGCTGTTGCTGCTCCAAGCAGAGTGCAGGCACTCCCTACGAGTGACTTCAATAACATAATAACAGAAGATAAAGGCTAATCTCAATTGTTGTGTAAACCAGAACAATTTGGTTTATTTCCGTGTCCGTTTCCTCTTCAACTTTAACCTCGCAGGCTGCACCAATCATGTACGGGGGCGTGGATCCTGAATACTCAATATAAAAACTAAAATATGTGTTATTTAGATATGTGTTGTTAACTTATAATTCTTTAAATATACAAACAGGTAGATATAAATGATAGCCTACTTATTGTATAATTGAGCACTGATACCCTTAAAGTGCATTGTTTTAACAGCTGTAATATTTATTTGAGTTTACTGTATGTCCTTTCAGGCTTGCCGTAGTTTAGAAAATCTCGTTTCATGGTCGGTCAAAGTTTAGTTGACGGTTCACTGGTTCTGACAGCCTCAAAGCGGCTGAAAACCTACACGTTTCTCCACAATGACGGCACGAAATATATCTCGTTTTTGGGAATGGGGGAGGAAGATAATTTGTGTTGGCAGAAACTATGCAGACCATGCCAAAGAGCTGAAAAATGCGATTCCTACAGAGCCTATCCTGTTTCTGAAGCCACCTTCTGCATATGTCAGAGAGGGCTCCTCCATCCTGGTACCCCGGTACTCCAACAACCTGCACCATGAAGTGGAGTTAGGGGTGGTGATCGGGAAAGGGGGAACGGCCATCCCTGAGTCCGTTGCCATGGAGCATGTTGCAGGCTATGCTCTGTGCTTGGACATGACAGCCCGGGACGTCCAGGATGTGTGTAAATCCAAGGGTCTGCCGTGGACTCGGGCCAAAGCTTTCAACACCTCCTGTCCCGTCAGTGAGTTCATCCCCAAAGAGCGCATCCCTGACCCGGGGAACGTGACCCTGTGGCTGAAGGTGAACGACCAGCTCCGGCAGAACGGCTGCACCTCCCAGATGATTTTCTCCATCCCTTATCTCATCAGCTACATCAGCGAGTTCATCACCCTGGAGGAGGGGGATCTCATCCTGACCGGGACCCCTAAAGGAGTGTCCGCCGTGCAGGAGCATGATCAGCTGCAGGCTGGGATCCAGGACGTTGTCACCATGAGCTTCAGAGTGGACAGACAAGAAAAGTAGTGGAAACAAAAAAACTAAATAAATACCCTGACTCTTAAAAAGAGAGTGATTCAACCTGATTGTAAACTATTTCTTTATTTTCATTTGTGGGTCAGCAGATGGCAGTGTTTTGCCACCAAACTATGTCTGATGCTGCCTTGTACAGTAAACCGTTTATTTACATTGAATGATCTCACAAATCTACCTGTGATCTGCATTATCTCCCTAAACCAGGGAAATGGAAATAATTCAACACCAATTGTCACTATTTCAGACTTAATTATCTAAATTAAAACACAGCAGACAGAGCAAATTCAGCCTAATACATATCATAGTATTCTCATTATTGTTGCATTAAAGTGTACATCATTTAAATGTCACAGCTAGTAATGGTTATTTTTTTTTGAACTACTTTATAAATTGCTGGGTAGCTTAGTCTACGATAATATGTCAACATTAATAAATGATGTACTGTATTAATAATCAGATTCTGCAATTGTACTCATAACTAGAGCTGCTACTAAATGTATTGGAGTATAACAGTACAATATTTTCCACTGAAAATGTGTAGTACATGGTAAGTACCTTAAAATACTGCTTGAGTATAGTTAATAACTCAAAATGTTGGATGTTTCCTTCCATAATGTGCATGGAAATGATACAGTATAACGGGCGTGACCTTTATTATAAATACATTAATAACAATAGTATTTTTGCTTATGCTTTACTATGATTTGGTTAGTGTGTCCTTTATAATAAGGACATTTCCTAAAGTTGCTCAGGTTGAATTCATGTAGTGCTCCCTTCGGAATCTTAAATGTGAAGTAGTGTTTATCCCAGTTGAGTTCAAGTTGAGAAAAATAGTCATGTTGGTGCGGGAGTTTGGGAGGGTTGAGGGTTTGGCACTGGCTGTTTGTGGTTAATTTTTAAATTTAAAACACATTGTGCTTCGTGTTGGATTAGCTGAGATATGTTTTCCTCAGAAAGTGTATGGATTACAGTTTGATAAATGTTTTAACTGCACAGTGAACCCTGTTGCCTCTGCAGAGTAAATGTTACCTAGCAGCCGACAACAATCTAACATGCCAAAAAGACTACCATTGCCAATGCCATTTAATAAAACTGCATGGTTAACTGGTTCATCTCGCTTAATTTGGACTTTTAGGCTGTACCTTCATTACAGCCACATTCTTCCTGGCCTGTTCAACATCTGTTCCAGGTTCAATTACAATTCTCCCACAGGCTTCTCTGTTTTCAGGATCAATCAGCCTCCATCAACCTGTCCCAGGCCAGTCTGCTGAAACCCGAGTCAGTGTACATCATCTTCCAACACCTTAAGGGCACGCTATCTCTGAGACTCACAGGACCCAAGCCCGGCCTTCAGGGGACTCCAGGGTTATATGTGTCCATCACCAGAGCAGTTATGACAGATGCAATTAGATGTGGGATCTGGGAAATGTAGTCGTGGCCTGTTTTTTAGAACAGGGTTAGAGCCATGTGCAGTGTGGCATGTGCACACAGGTGTCGTCTTTTATGAGATTATGAATCATACTGTTCATTGTCCCCATGTGACTGAAGGTATTACACACTCACAGGTTGGAACAATGGCTTCAAAGCTCACGCTCAGCTCTGGTTAAGCGTTCATCACATGAAGCTGTGTGTTGTCATTGAGCGGGAGTCTGGGGAGGTATATTTGACGCTTTCAAGGGAGAGGGGATTATGTGGAGACCACAGTCTTCCGATCTAACTCATACATAATGATGTCAACTGTTAAATAAAATCAAGCCAGCTGGTAACTGCAACAGAGAAACTTGAGGGTAATATCTCATAACAACAAATAACAAAGTAGACTTTCTATTATATAAAGCAATTGGCTAGATGATCAATCTTAATAACTTTGCTGATTTCCAGACTTTTTACGGTTAAAATGAGGATGACATTTGTGGCTTTTGAAATGTTTTGTATGGTTTGCCATTAAATTAGGTTAAAATAAAATGCATCATGTAACTCTCGTGATCCAATACCTTAAAGTCAAATATTTTATTTGTCTAATGCTCAAGTTTATGAATACTTGCAGAAATAAAGCTGTGAGCCTGCTAACATACTGATTACACGTGCACATATAGACCAAAAAGGGTATTTCGAGGATAAGGAGGGATAGATGAGTGTTTGATAGTGTGGCATGTTTACACCTTATGTAATATACCACATGAAATATTACTAAAGACATGTTTAAACATCAGTTAGAAACCATCAGTTCATCAGTAAGTTGAGAGCAATATATCATGCTTGAGGTTACCGAGGCAACTCTCTTCGATTCACATGGAAAACAACCTGAACATGATTAGCCTACAGGCATGAACATCCACGGTTCATATGAATCAAGAAGGGGAGCATAATTTTGAAGCATAAGAAAATAAATTCATGTTTTTCTAATACAGTAAAGCTAGTCTTTATATGAAGAGGTGGTTATTTAATTTGAAAGAAGAAATAGCTAACTTACAGTATGTTTTATGATTGAAAAAAATCACATACCACCACCATACCATTCTTACATGACTGAAAGGCATAAGAAAAATAGAACACTTTGCCCTGAGCATTTTTTGGTGGATAAAAGCACCAGCTCTTGACATGTAATTTATGGCAAGAAGGTCCAACATGCTAAAATGATTTACAATTTGGCAATGTGTGTGTGTTTAGAAAAGGACCATTCGTGATGCCTTTGCTTTGCGTGCTGCACTGTCATCAGACAGTGAGGCAGTGTGGCCATTCTTAGAATAAAACCACCATCACGCACAACCGTTGGAAGGATTGAGTCAGACAGGATGACTATGACATATCACATCCAAAAGACACGCACTTACTTAGCCAGGCAATTCATTTGACTTAAAATTAAGGGCTACTGGTTTGCATAGTTGGATGACAACACATTGCTGGCAGTGGATACACCTTGCCTTTACCCTACGTTTCCCAAATCATTGACAGAGTTTGACTATTTCTTCTGCATGTGAACAATTACAGTGCAATGAGCTAAAGTCCTGAGGTAACAAGTGGCTGGTTGGGGATTATTAACACCATGAAGCAAATCAAGAGCAAAAATGTGATTTGGTTTTATATGCCAACTTCAGGGCTGCAAATCTTTTTAGTAAAATAATGAATGGGTGCTTTGGCAAATGAAAAGAATCCATGCATGAAGGCCAGGTGCGAGCCTGTTTCATTCAGAGTGATTGACTGCATGCAGTGTTTTAACATTTTGTTTGAAGATGCAGGTGGAAGGTAAAGTGGTATAGTGTACCATGGAACATATATGCAGCATTATATTTAAGCCTGCTTCTACCTCAAAAGTTAAGGATGTTTCTAAAAGAGCTATTTTATTTGTATTTGATTTCTGCAGTTATGTTTTTAAGTGTAAAAGGTTTCCATCCATTTGGCAACAGTGCAAGCATCTCTATAAACTTTGATTGTTCCTATTTTAAAATCAAGGTCCGTCCAAAAGCAGACTGGGGCTGGTACTTTGTTGTCTAAAATAGAAAAAGAAGTATGCACTGAAACGTGTCCAGAAAAACAACGTTATAAAATCCAATTGTAAAAGTTCCTTAACGCCATATCCCTAGAAAGTTCCCCAATTTGATATGAGCTACCATAAGCATTAGAACATCTCTCTAACCCAAATTACTCTCTCATCAATTAAAGTTGGAGTCACAATTTAACAAGATGCTGTGAGGCCTAAACCGCAGAGAAGAGAGAAAATCCCCGAGCATTTCTTCCCTGAATCGAAGGAGACTGCGGTACGGGGGGGAAATGTGTGGAGTCCTCAGTATGAACCGTCTTCATTCTGTCTCCTCAAAGGGAAACCACTTTTTAAACTCTAATCCTACATTTATCTGTTGTATAGAAATCAGGCCCCCCTTTTCCTTCAACTCAGTCTTCAGAGTGGTTCATCCATCCCTCAAGGGTGTTTCTGATTAGTCTGCCATATGCCCATTATTCCCAAATTTGAGTCACCGCACCAAATATACATCCCTCATCACGTCTAATCTCTAATAGTCACAGTGGCTTGAAACTCAATCCACATTGGGCAATTTTACTTATGCAAACATATCTGCACTGCTAGGAATTGATGGCATGCATTAAATTATGGGCTCAAATCCTTGGAAGCTGCATGCCAGCCAAAGCTAAACAAATTGCTTTACCCATGAGAAGTGAAGAGCTGTAATTTCAGTTTAGATGTTTGGAGTATTTGTAATACAGAAAACCTATAGTTCAAACAAACATTCAGAAGTATATATTGAATTTCTCTCATTTAGGGTTTGTGTAGCGGTGGACTTGAGTCTGAAATCACTTTTTTACTTCAGTTAAATCTAGGCTTTGGCCTAATGTATATGTAACCACCAAATCAGAGTGTTATCATCCTGTTAAATTGGAATTATCAGACCTCTAGATGTAATTACCCATCTGGAGGGATGGGACTCAAAACACAGGACTACTTTTACCAAGCAAAACATGTTTGGGTGTTTCGCTGTTACAGTAGTCCCCTGTGAAACTAACAATGTGTTGTTGTCTTTGTGTACACAATGTAAAATGTTACTTCTACTTAACAAATGTGGTTATTTAAATGTAAACACTACTCTTTTCCTAAACCAAACCAGGTAGTTTTGTTGTCTGAACCTCGGAAGTTGTTTGTTTGTGTTCAAAACGAAACCTTAACTTTAAAATGTGACTTTTTTTCTTGTTGCATTCTCTTGTAATTGCAACCTAACTACTTTTGGTTTATGACCAGTCCAGAATGTAAAAACAATTATATATGTTTTTTGCTGAAAATATGATAAACAATGCATTGCTGTGGTTATTAAGCCCAGTGAGGATGTCTTGTAGCAAGCCTGTGACAACCCTTTACTCAACTCAGTTACATTTACAATTTTGTGAATTGCCATACACCTATAATGATGATTGAGTAATAAAACATGACCAAGTGCTGGTAGTGTCTACAGATTCCTGTGGGATCCACAACAGGCTGGCTGTTCATGAGCTCATACTAATACAGCAAATAGAGAGTTTGATGAAGTTATGATTTATTACATGTGTAGTAGCTCATTTGGATGAATTCCAACGCTCATCTTCCCGTCTCGCTTTTATCATATTCTCTGTCATTCCACTATTTTCCTTTCTCTTTCCTTTACCTCAATCGAATTTATCACATCATTACCAGTGTTTAGTGACAACCCTAGATTATGCCGAATGTTCTGCTGATTTAATGAGACTAAACGACTGGGCTTGTCCTGCTTACATTGCTACTAATGTATTTTGCAGATGGCAGAATGGGAAATTGGTTATCTTTAATGCCGGCTGCTGGGCTGGCACGGTGAATAGGCAGCTATCACTGTGAATGCAGTAATACAGGTTGGCACAGATGAAGTGAGGCAAGCACATTTAAATTTTTAGCAAGGCTCTCTAAAAACTGATGCCAGACATATAAAACAGTGAGTGAATGTGACAGAAATAATGACTTGAATAGGCAACGGGAGGAGGCAAGATGAATAGAGAGTGAGTGTGCGTGCGTGCGTGCGTGCGTGTTGCACGAAGACACGCAAGAGCATGCTAATGCAAGAAGCCGCATTTCCAAAATCCAAGCTCAATGTCAATGGCTTTGATTTAATCTTTTTTGCTTTGGCCTATTACTGAATGCAAGCCAATGTCAGACGTATTTTCATGCATTGTTAAAAAAAAAAACATCAGCAAAGAAACATTTGACCAGTAATTGCTCAGATCTTAAGCTCCTTTTTTGGTTGTTCCACCAGAGCAAATGTTCTTCTTCCTAACAGGATAGTGTAGGATGAAAGAGAAGATTTCAGAGAGGAAGAAGAGAGGACATCTTTCATAATTAAAGGGCCCAGTAGCATACTGGCCTCAGACTGTACATGTGGTCTAACTGTGTGGAAGTGGCAAAGGGAAAGCAGTGAGAGAGAGGAAGAGAGGCAGTTCTCCATTGAAGGAACTAAAGTTTGAGAATAGCGTACAAATGAAGTGTGGGGAACAGAACTACAGAAAGAGAGAGAGAGATAGACATTTGGTTGTGGCAGCAATGACAGGGTAACCGTAGAAAAACTAAGCATTCACTATGCCTGCGCCCTATAGTTACCGTTTATATGCCTGTCAAGCTTTCTGTTCCTAGCGTTAGATGTTGCTAGCAAATTCAGCTAACGTTGGCTCACAATACAGTGTTATTTTGTTCAAACACAACCCTCTCTGATTGATAACACTACAGTTTACATTTTTTAAAGTGTCTTTTTTTCTTTTTTTCACTTTGCTGGGCTTGCAAGGTTTTGCGCTCCCCGAGTGAAGTTCTACTTTTGTGGAAAGTAGATTATTGTAGGTAGCTAGTTGGCGGACATGCTAATACCTGTTTTTATCAATTTCTCACACTTCTGCTCTTAGGTCTTTTAGTTTTAATTTTTATTATGACGGTTTACTGGATTACTGTTGAAAGGGCAAATATAAATCGGTCTTCTACAAGCCTTTAAACTAACAGCCTCAGTTTTCCATTACAGTACTGCATAATATAAAAATGAGGAAATATTTGATGTCATGTCAAAAAAAAAGTTACTATATGAAACAAAAGATCAGAGTCAGAAAAAAAGTTTAATAGACACCACTGTGCTTTGTGTACTTTATATATGGAGTTTTAATTGGTTCAAAAATAATCACAGATCAAAACATTATTTTTATTTTAAGCAACAGCGGAGTGGTTACTGCCAATGCAATTAAAATGTGTGTGGCTTTGAGGAGAAACTATCTACATATGTCTACAAATGGAATGAATGTATGTGTGGTTTCTTAACACATTTGATATTTACAGATGAGGTATTATTGAGATATCAACTGTAATGTACAGAGAAACACCCTGCAACATCAACATAAGACATGTAACATTTTAAAAGACATTTGGAAACAGCAAATGTAATGAAAATATAAATGCAGTCAAAGTAACACTGCTTATAATTAAGAAGACATAGTGGTTAATCATGGCGTATGACATTTTTTTTACTATGTCCTGTCAATAAAAACATATTCAGTTTTATGTCTGGCCTTGTCGCAAAATAAATACATTTATTCAATAAAAAAAACTGTAACTGTTGTTTTTCAAATCAACAGAAACTATAAATATCAGCTTATTTGATCAAAATCAAAAATGATTTTCAAAGGGAATGTCTTTTCCCCCCTTGGTACACACTTTGCTCTTTAGTTTAGTCTATAGTTTAATAGTTTAAAAACAAAGCCATGTGTGTAACTTCCATATTGGCAGCTCTGTGTTCACGTCGGCTTCTACTCTACAACACAACAGTCACAGTTCATAGGTTGCTTGTCACGTTGAATCCACGCAGAATTAAGTTTGTGGACTTTGCATTCCTGTACCGCATCCCTGAAAACCTTAGTCATTTGGAGCATTAAACAGAAATTTTTTCTGATAGGAAACTCCTTGTTCATTCCCAGCCAAAGTCTTGTCCACTCATCTGGTAGAAACGGTGGTTGAAGGGCCTGTAAAAGTCTCTGAGCCTCTGCAGGACCTCGGAGGGGATTTGGGGATGGGGTCTGCCCTTAGACTTACCAAGGCAGCGAGGTCTACTGCTCCCCTCAGGCTTCTTCAAGCAGGGAAAACCTTTTGTCTGGTTGAAGTAGAAGTGTTTGTCTGAAACAACCCTTTTCAGACCCAGGAAGTCCTGAACACGGCCCATCTCCCCAGCTGGATCAGACACCAGCCGCTCTCCGCTAACAAACAAAAAACTAGACAAGGGGAAGTGCTGAAGCCAGTTCTCCAGATGTTTGGCGTAGAGGCCGATGCGCACAGCGCTCCACGTGGTGTCAATCAGACCTGTGGTGGAGTTTTTTAAAGCCAGGCTCTGGAAGGATGGAAGGCCTGGGTTCTTGGACAGTGTCTGGGTGTAGTCAGAAACAGCCCTCGTCACGGGATCTCTGACCACCACAATGAGCTTGGTTTGGCAGTTCATAGTGCAGACACGGCTAGGAGCCTCTTTTGTGACAAAGTAGCTGGGTGTTTTCTCCATAGTGATTTGGCCGTCCAGCGTCCGAGGCATCAGGTTCCTAAATGAAAAGAAGATACTTGTCAGACACAAAATTCGGTTTCACACTGAAAATATAGCTGTCACAATTACAAAGTTTGGTTGGTTTGGGAGAAACTTCTGTGTAGCAATGCAGTGGGACCGACTCATGAAGGAGACACGGGAAGAGCAGGAGCTTTGATGTCAAACACTGATGGTTTATTACGAGTTTCGGCCGGAGAATTCACATCACAAGTCACACAGTCAGAGGGTCTGACTTCACGGGAGAGTTGCCATGTCAATTCTGAAGAACTCTACCCCAGACCCATGTATTTAGCTAGTTCAGAGAGAATAATCAACATTGTGCATAACAAGATAGAATCATAACACCTCTATCAGCTGACGCCAACAGGCAGGAACAGGGAGACAGAACACTGAGAGCACAGCAGCCAAGGTTACAGGTGCATGTGATCAGTCAGGACAGTTTGAACTGATAAACTGGGTCAAAGCTATGGACCTTGGAAAATATTTCCCCAACAGTTGGTTGTGCTGCAACATNGTGTGAGTACATATAAGTGTGTGTTTATATATATATGTTTATAAATGAATAAATGTGTGTATATATATATATATATATATATATATAAAATAGTATCATTAAATAATGCTGTCAGATAAATGAAGTAGGCTACACAGTAATAGTCAAGGTTATATTCAATATTCTGCTCTTACACCAGCTGAGATGATAAAACACCAGTAATACAATCTCAGGACTCTGGATCGTTTACTTTCAGTCAACAAATCCTTTGGAAAGACAAACAACTATTCAATATCCTGCTTTACACCGCGACCGCTATAACTCCCGAAGATGAAGTCTATGACGCTAAAGCTACGTTCTTGCGTAATGCGGAAGTGGGCGTGGTTAAATCCAGACGGGCCGGCTACTATGCATGTTGCTTCTTGAAACGTGCAAGAGGATGTGGAAGGGGCTCAAATGCATGAAAGGGCACATACGCGATATTTGTTGATAATTTAATAAAAACATGCCTGGTCTTTTTTCTCCCTGTCTGTATCTCACACACAGATTCATGACAGTTATTTAAAAATAAATGAAGTGTATTTTTGTTAATTCTCCTCAAATGACATGATTGACGGAAGCTCTGCTGACAGAGATGCACTTTCTCTCTTTCTTTGAGTCCTTTTGTGTCAGTTGCCAGCTTTCCAGGAGCAGGCCCTCTCAGACACACATATACAACTGCAAAGTGTTACCATTTTGATTTGACAACATTATATTGAGCTATAACGGTTTTATCTGAGTTATATTTCTGCCGATCGGAAGCAGATATATCTCACTGTCAAATCGCGAGTCAAAGTCAAAGCCTGCCTCCGGTACTGCAGGATCTGAATTCTGATTGGCTAAAGCACTTCTTTGTTGAAAACTCTGTGTAACGATTGGCCTGAAACTTGTGTGTTATTAACTCTTTGTGAACTGGGATACATATGCGCAAAAACAAACAAACACACAATTAAAAATCGAAATTAACTGACGAGCCGCATGAGACTGTGGGTTTGCCACCTCTGCTGTAGTAGCTTTATTCTGTACTGTATGTCTCCGTTGGTTTTGCTACCAAGAACATTCACAACTTAACTTCATCCTCCTAAAATGAGTTTTACTATGATATGATGCTGCCCTCTAGTGATGGAGGATTGTATGACACTGTTTGCCTTTTTTTGTTTAGTTTTTACCAGTATCCATCTTTGATTTATTGAAATCGATCCAATTAGTCATTTGAACATAATTGAATAACAACAACGTGTGTCATGTTATATCATGTTTTATTTGCAAAAAAAATTGTGACCTCCAACAATAAAAAAAACAGCATATTTTTTAAGAAATTGCATGTTATACCCTTTATATACAGTATGTAGCACGAGAACGTACAGAAGGAGACATGGATAATAACTGTCCTTGTGAAGCTAGATACAATGCAACCAAGGGAATTTTTTATTATAAGACCGGGTTATCTTTCTATCATAAAATAGTAGATTTTCCGCATAGACTTTCTGTTTGTTATTGTCTTGTACAGGTCACCATACCATCAGGGCCATTGCAGGTGAAAATAAAAACAAGATTCCAGGGAATGGAGGTTTTACCCAAGAAAAAACGAGAAGGTTATAATACAGGCCCGATTCACAGTCCTGTCCTGTCAAAGTTCAGATGGTTATGGTAATATGTTCATTTGAGGCCAAAACAACCAGTATCTCAGTGTTGCAAACCTGATTGCATGAGGAGGGCTCACTTTTTTTCACTGAAGGCCTATATATGTAATTTTCTTCTCAAAATCTACAATAATTGTCATAAAGTAAAAAGGTGTTTTTTCTTGGAAACAAACCATTTAGTCTCAGAAGATACACCCCCTCCATGGCTCAGTAAGGTATTTATTCTTGACCTACAATTACTATTTTGCACTGTTGTACCACCATACCAAGTAAAGCTGCCCTTCAATTAAACACATTTAAATGTGTAAGGCCTCTCAGATGTTTCAGACAATATCTGAATGTTCTTTTATATTTGTTTCTCAGTGTTTGACAATGTTGTTGACCATTCAGTTTGTGTCTGTATTAAAATCAACACTTGATGGCGCCAGCACATCGAAGCTTCCTACATGGCCGTCTTACTGGGGTTTTCAGGGTCAAATGTCATGATCTCCATGTGGATAAGACCTGATTACAAAAATAAAACAGAATTAGACATTTCCCATGAAAGCACTTAAGGTTATTTGTATTTATAAGTGAATATAGTAGAGCAGGGAGGACTACTAAAACATTGAATTAAGTTAGAATAAAAGCACCTCCGGTTCCTTTATCTTAAAGTCAATTATCTTTTGATTGGTTTTTGGTAAGGCTTCTGAAATAAGGTTTATTGTTAACACAAGCTTACGAGATTTAAAATGTTTGATCTATGACATAAATTAAATCAGCTAATACCCTATGATTGTATGAGGCTATCATGTGGTACAAATGATGGTTGCTAAGAAGTGGCTACATTTCATCACCCTAAACATTAGATGCCTGTAGCTTAGCGGTGGGGATACACAGCCATGATACCGTGATGTAGTTAGTTCATAGTTTTAGTCGTTCAAAAGCTGTCAAAGTGGTGTTCATATGTGGAGATTACCCTGCTGAATAAACCCTGTTAGTATCATCAATAAATATTAGCCTCAAAGCTTATTTTCTTATATTTCAAATCCAATGGACAAATCCCATTTGCTTTTTTGTCAAGGGCCCTTGCAATGCTAACTTCCAGGTCTGCTTATAAAAAACGTAATTACTGCACCACTTTATTGGCAATAAATTAATGATTGCACTTTTACAACACATAATGCCCATTTTCAGAATAGGCATTGTGTGTATTTAGAACTTACTCTTCCACTCCCCAACGGCGAGCTCCAGGCTCTCAAAGGAGTCGTCATAGGGGTCAGAGTCCGGCTCGCTCTCTGGCTCATGGTATTCAGCCAGGAAAGGGTGCCCAAGGCCCTGCTTGGCTGTCAGCCTGGTCTCTGGGTCCAGTATCAACATGCCCTCCAGAATGTCTACAGCTGGAAGCATCAACAAATAAAAACACATCAATACTCAATGACATTCTTTTCATTTACTTAAACGTTAACTAACATTTCTGTCTTTTTTACTCATATTTTTAACTTGATTATTTTCACATTCTATTTGTTATAAACATAAGGCAAATCCTGCTATCTACAGTACAATATTTTTTCCGACACGATGGTCAAGAACAGGTTGCCAAGATCGGCATAGAGGTATTGTGTATTTCAAGACGAGAGAAATGCAATGAATCTCAGTTTAAAGTCAATGAGCAGGAGCGCTTTAGCACACCATTTCCCTCCATTGATGGAAACACTTCCTTGAAGATTTTCTTTTTCTGTGGAGGTAGACCCTGCACATACGACTGCGCCTAGAAAACAGTTAAGAGCGGTTACATTTTATTCCCAAGCATGAGCTAACAACAGAAACAAGAAATTGATGCAAAATGACACGTGTAATTTCCACTGTGAAATGCCTCTATGCCTGAATTCTATATATGGAAGATACCATGTGCTTATGTTAGCTAGCATTGCATAACGTACATCTTTACTCTGCATTTTCTGGACCAGGGAGGAGTCCGGTGTCCCTGTCAGCCGGAGGATCTTCTTCAGCTGATCAATACCTGAACAGGCTGCTTCAGGAAGAATGTACAACATAAAATGCATTTCTGCAAGTCTTTCAATCTGCAAACGTGATATAGCGAACTGAATTACAAAATAAAGAAGCAGCTATATTTTATAATATTTGATTGGGTATTATTTGTGTATACTTTTCATGCAGTTAGGATTGATAGGCTCATTTTTAATAAGATATATCATTAAAGGGATGCTTCAGTGACTTAGCTCTGCACTTTAACAAAGTTGGGTGGAAAATAGTCAGAGTTTAAGCCGCATAGGCTGAAATTATCCTGACTTTTACTCAATAGTATGGGACGAGCTCCAAGAGCAGTGCCTTTGCATAGATCAACCAAAAGCCTTGTTTTATTTGACCCTGTGTTATATCCTTGTTTTTGAAACTTCGCACCTCCAGATTGTGATGAAGCAAAGTAACTTTGCCTGAGGTGATATCCCTGTTGCTAAAATCAGCAAATGCTCCTTTAAATTAGGAAACTGCCTAAACGCAGCAGAAATAGTTTTCAGTTGTCACATGCTGGCCCTGTGTCTATGCTTCTCTGTGATTGCCGCTCTGACCAGGGTCACCTGTCCCTAATCACCCTATGTTTATTTAGTCTGTGCTGCCTCCTTTGTCTCTGCCAGTTGTTACGTCTGTTCTCTGTTAGCGGCACAGGTATTCCAGTGGTATTTTCTAGTGTTTTCTATGAGTTTGCCCCTTAATAGCCAAGTGTTTCTGTTGTTACTTTCTTCTGTCTCTTTTTTTGATAGTTAACAGAAAATATGTTTTTCTTTATTTAGGTAGAGCTTATTCAACCCTCTTTTGTCTGTGGTTGCACATTTGAGTCCATTCCCACCTGGTGCCAGAGTGATACTGTGATAACAGTACTTGTTACAATAAACCGAAGTGTGTAAATTATATGGAACACTCCAAAATCTCACAATGTTGCATCGGTTTATTGAAGTGTTTGAGGGCTATTGCAGGCTGGAGAGGGAGGGAACATTCATAGTAAAAAATACACTTGTTTCTGGATTAAAGTTATGAAATTATGATTTTAAAAAAGTGGATATTCTTAGAGATCAAAGTGCTAAACATCAAAAATTATCGGATATTAGAATAGTCATAAATTAGCTTAACAATTCCCAACTTGTTTTCTTTGTACATTTTTGAGTTTCTTGTCAAAATATTTCTCCAGCTCCTACAGTGTATATATATATATATATATATATATATATATATTGGTCACCACATGCTGTCTTCAGTTGTTCAAAATATTCTATTAAAAATGCCGGTTGCAGTGTGGGTTTCTGACTGCTATTGCTGAACATACACAGCCTTATTGCAACAGAGTGATCTGAGTGTGTGAGGATACTGTCGTGTCCGGGGAAAAGCACCTGGCCAGTGATCATCTCAGCCAGGATACAGGCGGCCGACCACACGTCCACTGTGGGAGTGAGCATTTCAATAATAAAAATGTAATCATTTGCTTTAGCGTACTGCAATATTCAGTTCTATTTTTTTACAAACTGAAAGGTAATATTGTTACCTGTTTGACTGTAGTGCATCCAGTTGAATATGACCTCTGGTGCTCTGTACCAGCGCGTCACTACATAACCAGTCATTTCACTCTCTGCCTGTCTTGCAAGTCCAAAGTCCAGGATCTGAGGATAGTGACACTTGGATTAACCATTGAATCTATTTCCTCTTCACTTTTTCGCAAGTACAACAATTAAAGTTACAAATCCTGAAGATCCGATTTAAGGCCGCAACTCATCATCATCTTACATTCTGATTATGCAACTTTTTTTTGCTTACCTTTAATTCACAGTTCTCATTCACAGCAAGGTTACCAGGCTTCAGATCCTAAAATCCAACACATGAGATGTCTTATTTGCATAAAGTCTATAGTGAAATAGTAAACACACTTTGTAATAGGTCAAAATATACTCAATTGCTGTTTTCGTTCTGAGCATTTGATAAAAAAAGACTGATACCAATCTTCTGTATGATAGTTATCGAGCAACAGTCGGCCTAGCTTAGCTTTTAAAGTAAAAAGAAGGGGAAATTGTTTAGTCCCTGTGTTAAAGGAACCTATAAAACAAACCATATATGTAATCCATTGCACTACACCTGAATAAGGCTACATTGAGTAAGTAGTGAGTCATTCTGGGAAATATCTTTGAATATGAATCTTAATTTATCCATCTAATATCTTTTGTAAAGGAACACACACAATTCAGACCTAGAACTTGACCAACACAAAAACCAGAACTTTGACATTTAAATGTGTGAACTATTTCATTAGATGTATAACTTAATTAAACACTAATGTTGTAATGAGTGGGAAACAATCTCTACAATATGTGTTGTATACAAAAAAAGAATAAAAACCAACCCGGTGGACGATGCCTGCAGAATGAATATACTGTAAAGAAAGAGAACACAGATTTTAGAATAAACAACACAAATGGACATTCTTCTCTCTGACAAAGTGTAGCAAAGCAAGCAGGCTCTCTAAATGCCATGGTATTGACTTGTGGATTTAAAAATACACATAGTCTCCACCCGCAGCCCACTGTGACGGCTCTGTTTTGTGTATTTTACAGCCCTTGGAGTAAATCCAGGCTCTTACAGCACACTTAAAGCACACAGATAAGAAAGGGAAACAATCTCAGAACGAGAGATGTCTGCAGCTTAATTCAAAGACAAAGAGGCATTTGGGAGAAGTTAGTCTTAGTTTCCAGTTCAAAGCGTGCTTTCCTTTCCTTTCCATCGAGCCCTATTGGTTGCACATTGACAAGTGGTGAGTGGAAAAGCATAAATAAGGGTGAAGCAGACTGTGAGTAAAGTGAAAACATTGTACTTAAAATGCCAGCAAGACATGCGACCTTCATTTA